CTGGTGCTTGCGTTTAGGGCACATACCACGAGCAAGGTCGCCCCTTCCCTGTCTCAAACCGCCGCTGGACTCTCGGTACCATGAGAGCAGAGTCGGTCCTGACTCTCCCAGCCTCATATTCTCGGGGCCTGGCGTACAGCAGGTGTTCAAGAAATATTTCTCAAGAGGGGCGCCTGGGTGGCTTAGTCGGTTAAGCGTCCGACTTTCGCTTAGGTCATGATCTCACGGTTCGTGGGTTCGAGCCCCGCGTCGGGCTCTGTGCTGACTGCCAGCTCAGAGCCTGGAGCCTGTTTCAGAGTCTGTATCTCCCTCTCTCTCTGACCCTCCCCTGCTCACGCTGTCTCTCTCTCTCTCTCCTAGAAATAAATAAAAAATAAATAAAAAATAAATTAAAAAAAAAAGAAATATTTCTCAAGTACACAGGCCTCATTCTTCAGGCTTATGAATCATGCAAGGACCACCTTCTCCCTCCACTTAAATTCACAGAGGGAATTTATTCAGGCTCAGGTTTTCACATTCTGAGTCGCAGACAACAAATGTGAAATTCCGTTCAGCCGCATTGATGATACAGGGCCTGTTTTATGGAGTCCGTTGAAAAAACTGCCTTCTGCCTTATACTCGTTTCTCCTTTAGCTGTCTTTTGATTCTGTTTTCCTCTTATCACGGGCGTTTTGGTCATTCCTGATTTCATGTCACTAAAAGAACATTATTCTTATTATTTCCTTGTTGAGAACACCCTCGTCCATAGATGTATACTTTTGTGACGGGCCTATGTGCGATTTCTGGGTGGTTCTACCCTAATGGGAAGTGCATTTTGAAGGTGGCCAGAATGCTGTAACATGAGCAAGCTTTGGCTGAGTTCAGGACAGTATGCGGCCCTTGGAAGTTTTCCTCTTTGACCTGCTATCTCGGGGCTGCTTTGTCTATTTTGGAAGCACCTAGAGTGAATCTTTGGTGGTGGCGGCTGGTGTGGATTAAGCTTAAACTACTGCGGGTTGAAATAACGGAGGTGCGAGCTGACAATCCAACATTCCCCCCTTCCCTTCCTCTAACCTATCTGTGCATTTCACTTTCCTACACTCAAGAGTCTTCCTAGAACGGCATTTTTCCTACGCACAGAGTACAGACCCTTCTAGAAGAGCCCACACTCGTGGAGAAATCCTTTTGTTAAGTCTGAAGTTCACTTTCTCAGCCTGTCTCCTCAACTCTTTCCCCTCAGAGCAAAGTTACCAACATAGGCCCTTAATAACTACAGGGACTTGAAAAACAGATATTTCTATGCACAGCTGATACAAAACTAAGATGGCTCTTTTGGGTTTTATATGAATCAAAGCACAAGTTGTAAGTGTGTGTGTGTGTGTGTGTGTGTGTATGTGTGTAAGTAATGATGACAATACCTTATGTATATAAATGATCTATATGCACCACACCGAGCAATCTGCATGCATTATCTCATCTAATCCTTGCAAGCACTGCATTTATTTTCAGACGAGTAAATGCCCAGTTTTTAAGCGCTAAAGCTGGCACGCGGCCACGGGCAGCCTCATTTCGGTGCCCATTACAGCCAGCCTGTCTTCCTCTATCTACTTGAGCATGTGTTTACACATATGTGAGTAAGTACACACATTCACATCACACACCCACGTAAGATAAATTCATGCACAAAGACACTAACACATATGTAAATGTTTAGAAAAGTTTCTGCATGGACATATAATAACACAGTGTTAATCGTGGACTTGGAAGAGTGTTTGGGAGAAGGCATGAAATTGGGGATGGATGCCTACTTGTTAAACTACACTCTTCTCTAATCGTTTGTATCCTTTGAAACAAACACGTGTTACTTTTGTACCTAAAAACCCAACTTACTGATCTTGCTGTACATGTTCCCACTAGAAATGCTTGTCCAATCGTTGAATGTTAGGAATTTTACTTCTGTGTTTTTCTCTTCTTTTGTCTTCGGAAGGGCAAGGAATGAAAAAGGGTGGAGGGAGAAAGCATACATTCAGCAGGAAGTGACATCGTGAGATCTTCTTGCCTTCCAGAACAGGAAGGACGACAATAGTTGGTACACAACTTGCACCTAAATGTGTAAACTGGTCACCCAGCTCGCACCAGGCTCTGGTGCAATTCTTTTTTTTTTCAATTTTTTTAATGGTTATTTTTTTGAGAGAGAGAGAGACACTCTAGTACAATTAAAGCTATTGTAGTTAAGAGTTTAAGATAGTATGTTCACACCTTTCTTACCACTGTCTTTATAGACATCTTGACTTCTGTAAATTCCTCTCCTAGGATATAGGTTGGTTTAAAGATGCAAAAGCAAATACGGCTGATACAACTATGGACACCATAAGGCGTGCTCTCTGTGTGCCCCCAGGCAAAATGAGCAGGCGGTTGGTTTTTTCACTCCGTATCACACATTTCCACAGTGCTTCATCCTCTGTGATTTTACTGTCCCTTCCTCCCTTACCGCTCAAGGAACTCAGCTTTCTCCCAGACCGGACTCTGGCTTTCTTATTTGATTATTTCTGTGTGTTGATCCTGCTCCCTGATGTCAGTGTGGCTACAGAGCTTTTCATGCTTTGGATCATTTGTGGTGCCTCTGGGAATTGTCTCTTCATTCCCCTTTGTGTATTTTCTACTAGTTTGTCTTTTCCAGGGCATTACAGGCATCTTTTACACAGTCAGGATGTCAGTCGGAACAGCAGTAAAAATAGTAGCTAAAACTTTTTGAATGCTAATCTGCGAAACACTTTTCATGCAGTGTTTAATTTTCATATTTGTTTAGAAAAGTGAGTCACAGAGAGGTAAAATAGCCCGAGATTCAAGCCCAGCAGGCTGGCTCCTGGGTCAGTGCTCTTAGGGTGTCCCTATACCATTGAGAACTCCCTGCCCCCCCCCACCCCGCCCAAGTGCCCCCAGATTCCTCTGCTTCTCTGAGTCTTCTCCACCTACCCTTTCAGGGTTACTGCCTCCTTTTAAAGGAGCAGCATACACTTTAGGGCTAATTGTATCATTTGCAGGAATTCTGTTGCCCAAGCCAAAATGAGAACACCAATATTTACCCTTCTTGAGCCATGTCTCTCTGTCTTCTTGTGCCTCCTGAAAACTCAACACAGACTGCAAATCAAGAAAACCAGTTTTCTTAGGTCAAGGGAGATCTCCAAGACGGAGGAAGCCGCAAAGGTTTAGGATTCTGAAAATCCAGGCTTTGCATATACAATCCTGTGCCCCCGTGAGATCGTGATATAGCACATAAAATGAGCATAATAAGGGGCGCCTGGGTGGCTCAGTCAGTTAGGCGCTCCACTTTGGCTCAGGTCGTGATCTCATAGTTCGTGGATTCGAGCCCCACATTGGGCTCTGTGCTGACAGCTCAAGCCTGGAGCCTGCTACTGATTCTGTGTCTCCCTCTCTCTCTGCCCCTCCCCTGCTTGTGCTCTGTCTCTCTTTCTCTAAAATATAAACATTAAAACATTCTAAAAAATGAGAATAATAAAAGCCTCTCCGGTTAACGGTGAGAAAGGACTCAAGGGGTATCTAGCTCTGGACCCTCCTTGATCAGCAAATGATAGCTTTTGTCCCAGGAAAGACCCGTGATTCCTCCAGGTTTCTGCATTGTAGACGACCCTCAGTCATGCAGGGGGGACTCTGGTGCTGCAGTAAGAAGGCTGGCAATCCCCCGAAGTGGTTAGAACCCAGTGTCCAGGGTGGTCGCAGGTCAAACTATGGTTCCATTACTTTCTTGCTGTCAAATCAACCCCTGGAGCTTCAGTCTGTTCAAGCGGGGAATGGACTAAAGAGAGTAGCCGAGTATGGGACTTAAGAAGGATGAAGCGTGTCATCCCATGGTGCGTATACTTGCCACAGAGTAAGTGGTGGTTCAATTTACTGGGCATTTATTGAGCGCTTATTACATGCCAGGCTTGGGGACACCAGCTAGGTGAAATGCAAATGGTTATGATGCTCTGTATCCCACTTGCATTCTGCTCAGCGGGAAGTACTCCTTTGTAACGTTCAATGTGACTGCCTTTCTTTTCGTCTTGCTTTTCAACTTTGCACTTGCCCCCGCAGCCCCTCGACGGCCCGCATTCCACTGTCCTCGACTGGTGTCCGCGCCCTGGCCGACGCTGGAGGATCCAAACCTCACCCAGGGGTCCCCGCTTGGGGTTCCCCAAGAAGGAGGGGTGGGAGGATGGAGGTGCGGGGAGCACAGGAGCGTGACCACCACCCCCATCTAGATCTACTCGGTTCCAGGGACCACGACCCCGGGGGTTCCCGGCGACATGACCGGGACCCCATTCCCCGGCTGGCGCGGGGAGGAGGAAGAGGAGGGGGCACCGAGCCAGGTCCCCGCCGGGGCTAGGGGAGCCGCGGCGCCACCCCCCGCCGGCGCGCTCTCTCCGGGACCAGCCTCTGGCGTCCCCGGCACAGCCCCGCCCCCGCAAACCACACCCCTCCCCGGCCTCCTGGTGGCCCCGGCTCGGCCCCGCCCCCTTGGCGCTAGCCCCACCCCCGGCCTCCGGCGACAACGGCTGGGCCCCGCCCCCTAATTATCCACATTCCATCCCCCGGCCTCTCGCCGCGAGGTCCGCCCCTCCGGCTTGGCCCGCCCCCTACTTATTCCTACCGCGCCCCGGCCTATCAGCCGCCGGGGCTAAACCCCGCCCCCTCCAGCCTGGGGGGGAGCCCCCGCTTGTCCGCACCCCGCCCCTGCCTCTGGGCCCCGCCCATGACCGGCCACGCCCCCTCCGCGCTTGCCCCGCCCCCGCCCGATCGGCCTGCGGAGGCCTGCTCTCGGCTCCCCCTCCCGGTCCCCCTTCCTCCCTCGCGCCCTGTCTCCCAAGTAGCCTCGGCCCAGGCGCCGCCCCGCCCCCAGGCCCCGCCCGGCGCGGAGGCCTCCGCTGCCCCCCGCGCCCGGGCCCCGCCTCGCGCGCCCCGCCCCCGCGGCCCCGCCCCGGCGCGGGGACCACCCTCCGCCCGCGGAGGCGCGGGCCGGGCGCTCGCCGCACTCCTGGCGGTCCCGGCCGCTCGCCGCCGCCTCGCGGAGGTTCGCGCGGAGCTTCCCGCGGCGCCGCGCGCGTCCCCGGCCGGCCCGAGCTCCCGGACCGCGGCGAGAGCCGCAGGAGCCCGCGGGGACGCGGTGCGAGCCAGGTAAGCGGGCGGCAGCGCGGCCGTGCCCTGCGGGCCGCTCCCGCCCCGGCGCCGGCCGCGGCTCGGCGGGCTCGCGCCCTCGTGGGGGCCGACCGCTCGCCCGCCGCCTGAGTTCGGAGTTCGGCCGCCGGGGCACGGCTGGCGCCGGGCGGCCTCTGGAAGCCTCGCGCCCCTGGGCGCCGCCTGGGCGCCCGGGTCGCCCCGGCGGGGGCGGGCGGGCCGGGGTTGCGGGCGCCGAGCCGCCGTCGGAGCCCCCTCCCCTGGTCCGGGCGCCTCCCAGGCCGGCCCTGCGGGGCGGCCCGGCTCGGAGACCGCACGCGTCCCGGGGGCGCCCCCTCGCGCGGCTTTGGGGAGGAGAGGGGGCGCGCGGTCCCGGGTTAAACTTGTTGGTGACAATGCATATTTCAACTTCGGAGACCCCTCGTTGTAGGCTGGAAATGGAAATCCCGGGCTCTGGCCGGGCCGTCCGGGGAGCGAGCCGCCGCGCGGGGGGGGGGGGGGGGGGGGGGGCCGGGAGAGAGGCGCGTGGTTCCCCAAGTGAGGTTTCCCGGGGAGCCGGCTGCGCGCTGCGGATTGGCGGCGCCCGGGGTGCCGGCGGCTCCGGCCGGCGGCCGCTCCTGCAGCCGGGGGACCAGGCCCTTCCCGGGGTGCCGGGCGGCGCGCGGGCGGCGGGGCCCTCTACGTGGGAGGGGCCGGCGGGAGGGGAGCCTCGCCGTCTGTGAGATTCAGAAAGGGGTCGCCGGGCTGGGTTTTATTTGTCCTGATGCTTGGCGAGTTAATGCAGCAGATCCGCACCGTGTCTTCCATCAGTATTAAGTTCGTGTAACTTTTGATCAGAAAAGCAGTGTATGCCTTGGGTAGGAAACGCAATAAAGGGAAACATAAGCAGTAAAACAGACACCATCCGTGATCGCACTCTGCCTACCTGCCTTTAATATTTACATTCTTGGGGTCACAGGCTTGCCGATTTAATGACTAAGTTACACTGGAACCTCTCTTGCCTACATCACAGTAATCCCTTTATGTGGACCCCTTCCCCGCCCTTCCAGGTGTGATGGCCTCTGAACCCCAAAGTTTGGGGTTATTGGCCCGGCGCCCTTCTCAGCCCCCACCAGTTCCCTCCCTGCGGGCCTGAGGTGGAGAGAGAGGGCGCAGTCGGCTTAGAACACTGGGCAAGGCTTGATTGGCCTGGTGCCTATCCACCTTCCCCTGTGGTTTTGGTTCCTTGCCTTGTAAAAATGAAGGTAATGATTCTCAATCTGCTTCTCAGGCCACCATAAAAATTAATGGGTGGTTTGCAAAGCATTTTGACATCCTTTGGATGGACAGCGGCTGTACTTTAAGGGGCGAGGGAGCATTTTGCTGTTCCACGTTGCTGTCGTCATCAAATAAAACAGTCCACCCCCCACCTGGCCGTCCTGACCGGGAAACAGACTCCACTGATGTCCGGTGGAGCCTGGAGAACGTCCCTGGTTCCCGCTCAGTGCATTCTGTCCGACAGGCGGGGGCTTGGGAGGAGACAGCACCCCGCCTCCTCAGCCCGCCTCCCCGCTCTGCTCTGCATGTGGGCTGATGTGGGGAGGGGAAGGGGAGACGGACTTGAAGCAGGCCCCACGTTGCACAGGCCCGATGCCTGTCCATCTGTGGAATGCCAAGGCCGTGCTGATCCGAGAGGGAACAGTTAGTTCTGGGAGGACTGAGAAAGTGAACAAACCTGGCTTCTCAGGGATTTGTCTTAGGGCTTGCTTGTTTACTAAGCGAACAATGGGCGGCTCTGATCCGCGGTGCCTGAGAAGCTTCTGTGAGCTTTAATTTTTTTCCTGTTGTTCCAAGACGCAGGCACCACACATTGTGGTTTGGAAAACAATTACGAGGGACTCTCGGACCCGGGGTGCCAAGCCCGCGTGGGGAGCGGCGCGCGCACGTTGCCTTTCGTCCCCCCTGGCAAAGAAACCACGGTGAAAGGGCCTCCCTCCAGGCGGGTCTGCAGGGCTCCAGTGTGTCATTCGATAGTTTCATGTTTTTATTGTTACCACCAGCACTTTGATCTCCCCAAGGTCTAGCCGATCGCTAGTCCAGACGCAGGGGGATTTCCAGAAGGACCCAGAATGGGGGCTGGACAAGTTGTAGCTAAGTGTCCTTAACTGGGCTGTCTGCCAATTAGTATTATGCTCTTAATTTTCTCGGTGGAGGGAGGAAGAGGCAGTCTTCCTGGATTTTCTCCCTTGCTGTTGTTTGCTAACTTGATTTCTGGTTACCCAGCAGCCTGGAATTACCGTCCTGTGGCTTCGCGTGCAGACTTTTTTCTTATTCTAATGGTTTCTAGTCTGTTGATAAGGTATGCTAATGCGAGTGGAGTTTTACGCCCTTGGGTCCTGGGAGGCCGCTCCCACATTTAAATCTTCCGATCTCAGCAGGTTCCTTGTGGGAGGAGCCACCTGGGGAGCCCTTGACCTCAACAAGGTTAAGAGTTGCCAAGTTCGATCGACCCTTGCTGACCTCCTGCCTGGCTCCAGGCAAACCTCGGTGGCTCCGTGTTTAGGTATCAGCCTAGTGGTGACTGAGTAGAAGCGGCTATTGTAGCAAGTGGGCCTCGGGCCAGCCACGTGGGTTTTCCTTAGCTCTTTTATTTTCAAATTCAACACCTGAACTGGGCAGTGTTAGGATTTTTCTTCTGAGAAGTGGAGTCAGGCCCCCGGGATATTTTCGAAGTCCCTAGAAATGGGCACTGGGACTTCTTTGTGCTGAGGTCGCTGCCTGACAACCCAGTTCCTGGGAAGGGTCACCGAGCACCTGCCGAGTGCTCTGGGCGGCTTTGCTCCTGGCCCGGAGGGGAGCCCGGGGCCACCCAGTGTTTACACTCGGGCTCGCAGTGTCCCAGCTCTTGGCACAATAGAAGCCCCACATTCCGCCATCACCCTCTGCAGGAGGGACAGAAGAATAATTCACCGAGTCCCTGAGCGCCCAGGGCACAGTCCCGCTTCTTGTTCAGGACCTCTGAGGAAGCCTGCGCCTGCTTTTCCGTGGGCCCTGGGGCCTCGGGTGTGTTATGTAACGGCACCTGATGCCATCTGGCCGGGCGACTTAAGGGAAAGGATGTCCGTATTCAGCCTTTTGAAGGCAAGAGAATGCAGAAGGTATTTCAGAAACAAAGGGGTGCATTTCAGGGAGGGAAGGGTGAACCCCACACAGTGCATCACGGTGCCCCCGTCCACCAGGTGAACCAATTCCATGCCCAAACCAAACCCTCAGTAAGCGAGTAAGATTTCAGGAAGTCAAGTGGTGGACTGAGTTCACCTAACTTGAGATTTGGGGTGTTTTGGGGGTAGGAAGGGCGTGTGAAGCCTGGAGCACACACTTAAAAATCCTCACAGAAGCCATGAGGAGTTAGAAACCACGAGAGAGTCCATTTTACAAGGAAGCTACGAGAATTTAAGTAGCTCCCACGACACAGTGGTCCATAAAGTGCTTGAGCTGAGAAATCGGCCCATATCTGCCGGAGCCTAGAGCACTTAATCGCAACTCCTAGGGTGCTGAAACAAAAGACACTCACGCCTTTGGGTCACATGAAGACACGCACAGGAAAATAGCAGAGTGCCTGCGTCCCTTACACAATTCTAAAAAAGCTTGTACTCTGAAGGTGAGAAATCTTTAAAACCCGTAAAATCTCTGCAGCCTAAATGGAAGGCAGCCGGTTTGCACCTTTATTCCCCAGGGTGAGGGGTTGGGGGCTGTGTCCCTGCCCTGTGGGCGGGATCAAGGTTGATTTCTTTGGAAGACTGAGGTTTTGAAGTTGGGGTAGCTCAGACCGGAGCCACTGTGGCGTCTGGTTCTGGTACCACGAAGCGAGGATATTCCGGGCAGATGAGGTCAGTAGAATAAGGTAAAGATTATGAGAAGTGTGTTAAGTCAGTGTAAGATAAGGATTCCGCCTTTCACGCGGTAATCACGTAAATGACAGACTCCAAGATTACACTTATCTGCTCATTAAAAGCTTGTCTCTGGAAAAACTCTCTGCTCGTTCCTGTTAGCCCCGCTCTTCTGAACAAATTGAAAAGAAAACTACCTGTGGAAGGCTTCTGTGGTTCCAGACGCCCAGTATTCATCCCCTCCTGTCTCCATCCGCCCCCCTCCCCCAGTCTGTGGGACCGTTTTTAGGAACAGGGAAGCCCGCTCTGGTCCCCAGGCCTGGAGGGAAGGGAGGTGTCCTTTGCTGGCCCCTATGCCTGTGGTCCGCTGAAACACCCACTCTCCGAGAAAAGGAACAAAGAGCCTTTCTGATGGCACCTGCCGGTTAGGTGCTACGGTGTAAACACGGGGCTGGCAGCGCTAAATGTCGCACAACCCGTGTGAGCCAGCTGGAGCCAGCTGCAGCTCACCTGCCACTGCGCTGAGCCCCCAAGCCGGCCCCCTTACAGAATGGGGGCAGGGGTAACCCGGGCGCCTGTCTTCTGTGCGGACGGCCTGTGCCCGGCGGCTGGGCCGGGCGAGGACGTGGATGTCCCTGGTAGCCTGACCTGGCCACCTTCAAAACCTACTGGACGTTGAGATCGCCTGGGAGATTTTGTAAAACTCCACCTTTGTCCGCCTGGTCCCTGGTGGAGTCCAGATCTCTGGGAGTGGGGCCCAGACACGGGCAGTTTCTAAAAACTCCCCACTAGACTCCCCAGTCTACTGTGTGGCCAGGGCCTCACTCCGCCGAGGGGGGGTGGGGGCGATGTGTAAGTAGGAAACTGGAGACGTGGTTTGGGACCAGGTGGGGCAGACCCGGTATCTGAGGCCAAGGGAAGTTTTTTAGGGCCAGGTTCTTGGAAAGGCAGGCAGAGGGCCCAGATCTTTTCCAGTTGCCATTACTCCGGCCCTTTCCCTCTGTGGGTGGTGGTCAGCATACTTGTGGTACCTCGGTCGCCCTCACTGGGCTGGTCTAGAACAGAGAAAGGTCTTTGTGGACAGAGGGACCAGGATGAAGCCAGCGGGCCTGTCCTCGGAGCCATCGCTCC